CTACAGCAGTACAGTCCTCCACCCCCTGCCCCCTGCAGCTGGACATGTCCCGCCACACGTACCCCAGGCCCCCTGCGCCGGCCGCCCCTGCTTCCCACGAGCAAACAGGCGCTCTGAACAGGAGGCAGACAGATAAGTAAAAATCAATCGTGAGCGCCGGCCGGCCTGGGTTCGGGGGGTTGTTTGTTGTTCTAACCGCTGGGGGATTCCTGACAGTCTGAAACACGGCGCCGGTGCTGCCTGCACGTGCCCGTCCTGAAATGGGACATCCGTTCAGCCCGCTCAGTCTTATCGGTGCTCACGTTCTCGGGCCGCCGCGGCAAAGACGCAGCCCCTCGGAGGTCCGGAGGGTCCAGGTGCCTCTGTGACTCACCTCACCTCTGAACCCCTCCAGAGACAGAGCCACGCCAGGATTGCAGGCCAGCGCACGCCAACCCCAGCGCAGCGACATCATAAGATCATGAGACAGGATACGAACGTGAGGCTAATTAATCCAAGGACATGGCGGGCTAGCTTGCCTCACTCTCCCACCACCCTTTGTGTAAACAACCACACCCTGTCCCGAATGGAGTATCTGAGCATCTAGCTGTTTCTTGAAAGGAGCCTGGTTACCGACTTCAGCAACATGGCTGTGTAGCTTGTTCCACACCCCCACCACGCTCTGTGTAAAGAAGTTCTTCCTGTTCTCAGTTCTAAAGGCAGTTCCTGGTGTTTTCCCCTCGTGGTCTGGTGCCTGTTTCCCTGCTGGCTCTCGGCTCCCCTGGGCCAGCTCTGTCAGTGTTCTCTCAGGATCCACTCGGCCTTCTCTGCTCCAGGAAAAGGAGGATGTGCGGCCCCCACGGCTGGGAGTAACGTCCAGTGGGGCGAAAGACATAACCTGCCCGCGGCTGGAGGGGGGGAACAACGTCCCTCCCCCACCGGCTGCCTCCACACCCCCAGTATTCGCCAGCCGAGCCGTGCCAGGGGGACTGGAGACTGGGGAGGGGGAGAGACTCTGATGGCAGTGTTCTTGGCTCTCGGGCTGGTTCCCGCTACAGACACCTGACGAGCAGAAGGCCCGACCCAGAGGACCCTGGGCCAGGGTCCCCACTGCGTTCTGGTAGGGTCCCACAGGCCTGGGCCCCGCCGCAGACTGTGCTGCTAGGCGGACAGGACAGGATGCGGTGTAGATGGCGTGCTGATCAGCGCCCCCCCCCTCCCCACTCCTCGGCTAAAAACAGCAGAGACCTACAGACCCTGCCTCTCGGCTTCGGCTCGGGCTCGGCGGGGGGGGGGGCAGGACTGGCCAGCGCCGTCGCGCGCCTGTCTCCGTCTGCGCCTTGGCTGACCTCTCGATTGTTTCCCCGCGACCCTGCTATAAATACGCCGGCTCGGCTCGCCGAGGTGACGAGGGGCTCATCGCGCAGTCAGAATAAACAGTGAGGAGGAGGAGTGGGGGGGGGTGTTGAGTTACCACAGGGTTTTGGTATTTCGCTCCCTGGCCCGCGCGGGGCTTCTTTTTATAACCCTCGCGCTGGCTCCGGCTCCGGCTCCGGCACAGCCCTGGCCCAGGAACTGAGCCGCAGAGTGACAATGCACAGCCCCACACCGGCGCGGTCTGAATAGCACAGTAAACAAGCAAACACTGGCCCGCGTCTCCTGAAGACCGGACGGCCGCTGTCTGCCCCTCTCTGTCACGGCATGGCCCCTGACTCGGTCATCATCCAGAGTATTAGGAACCTGCTCCCCCCCCTCCGTTCTCTCTCTCTCTCTC